ATTTAAAGCTTCCTTTGAAAAAAAAATATTAAAGCCGAAATGGTGAATTAGGGGCAGCCACCAGCTGAATTCTCCCAACAATCCCCTCCAAAAAACTTAAAAATAACACATAAAATAAAATTTTATAGTAGCACAGTCAATAAAATGTTGCGGTGAAACATTTTTCTGGCCTAAGAAAACTTAAAAGGTTGGTAGAAGAATTCTGTGACATGGGATGAAGGCTTGTCCAGAGCCCACAAAGGCAGTAGTGGTGATAGGGCTGCAGCAGCTTCAGGATCTCTCAGGCCAGAGACAATAAAAGATTGAGATAACCAGGGAGAAAAAAATGATAGAGGACCCTTTGCTGGCACTGAGTAGAGCTGGCACTGATGGGCAACTTTATTGCCCATATGCAGTTCTGTGCAGTTCCAGGGCAGAGAAGAGCACTGGTGGTTGGTCACAAGGAAGCAGGTCCCTGGTCAGAGTTCCAAAGCAAAGAGGAATGCCAGCACTTGTGGCTACAGGGGACCAGGTGCCCTTCCTAGATAAAGATGACAGGGCAGACCAAGAGAACAGTGACCACGCTTCTCTCAGGATCTCACCACCTTGGATAGTGCTGAAAATAGCAGCACAAAAAAGCCTAAAGCTTGGGTCAGGGCCTCCTCACCCCAAGATAATCAAGTTCAAAGTCAAGAAATAAGCTGGAAAAATGAGCAAACAACAACAACAAAAAAGAATTTGGCCATAAAAAGCTAACAGTGGCAGGGAAGATCAAGGCATAAACTCAGAAGAAAACACCAGTGTGAAAAAAGCTATTTAAAAAAATGTCTCAAAGAAAAATACTAATTGGACATAAGCCAAACAAAAATTCCAGGAAAAGTTGAAGAAAGAAATAAAAATGGTAAGGAAAAATTGGTAAAAGAAATGAGAGTGAGGCAAGAAAATTATCAAAAGAGAATTAAAAGTTTGGCAAAAGAGGTATTAAAATACTGAAGAAAATAACTCCTTAAAAAATAGGATTGACCAAATGGTAAAAGAGGGACAAAGATCCACTGAAGAGAAGAAATCCTTAAAAAGCATAATTGGTCAAATGGAAAAAAAGAAGTAGAAAATCTCACTGAAGAAAATAATTCCTTAAAAATTGGAATTGGGCAATAATTCCATGAGAAATAAACAATGAAGCAAAGTCAAAAGAATGAAAAAATAGAAGAAAAGAAGAAATATCCCATTGGAAAGCAACTGACCTGGAAAATAGATTGAGGAGAGAGAATTTAAGGATTATTAATTACCTGAAAGCTATGATAAAAAAGAGCCTAAGTTCAAGAAATTATAAAGAAAAACTGCCCCAATATCATAGTACCCAAGGGTAAAATATAAATTGAAAAAAATCTACTGATTACCTCCTGAAAGAGGTCCCAATATGAAAATTCCCAGGAAGTATAGCCAAATTCCAGAGCTTCTCTAGGTCAATAGTAGCCAGTAAGTAGCCAGAAAGAAACAATTAAAATATCATGGAGCTACAGTCAGGATCACACAAGATTTAGTGGTTTCCACAATAAAGGAGTGGAGGGCTTGGAATACGATATTCATGAAGGCAGAGGATCTAGGATTACAAGCAAAACTGACTATATCCTTCAGGGGGAAAATGGATGTTGAAGAACTAAATAAAAATTTTGACTTTCAAACACAGGACTTAAAAAGTAAACATGAAAGAGTAATGATAAAGGACTCAACAAAGTTAAATTATTTATATTTCTACATGGGAAGATGATACATGTAACTCCTAAGAACTTTATCATTATTTGGGCAGTTAAAAGAAGTTAATATAGGCAGAGAGCATTGGTATGAGTCAATTATGTTGGAATGATCTCCAAAACAAATGAAAGGATGAGAAAGAGGGATGCACTGAGAAAAGAGGGGGAGAGAGGTAGAATGGAGAAATTTTTCTCACATAAAAGAGGTATTCAAGGAAGAGCTTTTACAATGAAGAAGAAATGAGTGGGGAGTGAATGGGCAACGTGTTTACATCACTCTCATTGGAACTTGTTCAAAGATGAAAGATTACATATACCCACTCAGTTGTGTATAGAAATGTGACTTACCTAGTAGGACGAGAGGAAGAGAGAAGTAAAAGGAAGTGAGAAAAACCAGGAGATCATTGTGCACAGTAATAGCAATGTTGTCATTATTATCAACTGTGAAAGATTTGGCTATTCTGATCAATACAATGATCCAAGACAATTCCAAAGGAACCATGATGAAAAAAAAAAGCAATTCACTTATAAAGAGAGGACTGATCAACTGAGTGCAAAGTATGGTTTTCTCACTTTATTTTTTTCTTGCTTTTTTGGGAAATATGTTTAATTTTGAAATATGTTGTGCATGATTTCACATGCACAATTGATATATTGCTTGCTTTCTCAGTGGGTATGAGAGATGGTGGGAGGGAAGGAGAGAATTTGGAAGTCAAAATTTAAAAAGAAAATAGTGTTAAAATACATAAATAATTAAGTAAAATGTTTTTAAAAAGTATACAATAAGTTAAACATGCTATTTTCAAAGCTATCCTATTTGTCTGTTTCCTTTTGAACTTTATTCAGTTTTTTTCTGTGCTTTAAGAAAAAAATGGCTTCAATGGCCTTCTTTTCTCTTTTTTTCTGTGACCGTATTGCTAGCTTGCCTCTCTTACCCTACCTTTCTTTCTCTTACTGTTTCTTCTCCTACAAAAAAAAAAGCACAACACAATTCTTATAACAAATGAATATAGTCAAGCAGATCATATGGATGTTTCATATTGTACTTTGGGTCCATTGCCCCCTCTATGAGAAGACGGGTAACATGCTTTATCATTAGTCCTTGGAGTTGAGGTCAGTCATTCAAAGTTATTTTTTGTGACAGTTTTGTAGTTATTATGGAAATTGTTCTCCTGCCTCTACTCATTCATTTTCCCTAAGTTCATGATAGTTTTTCTTACAGCACAACATTATATTCGGTTACATTCATTTACCGTAATGTGTTCAGCCATTACCTAGTTGAAGGACACTCCCTTAGTTTATAGTTCTTTGTTAAAACAAAAAATAAAGATACAAATATTTTCATAGATGTGAGTCTTTTTCTTTAGTATTTGGGGGTGTAGACCTAGTTATAGTATTTCTGAGTTATATGATATACATGGTTTAGTGACTTTTGAGGTGTGATTCCAAATTACCTTCCAGAATGGCTGGACCAATTCACAGCTCCCCTACCATTGCATTAATGTGCCTGTTTTCCCCCTTCAACAATTGTTATTATTTTCTCTCCTCTGCTCTCCTCTGTTCTCTTGTCCTCTGCTCTCCTCTTCTCTCTACTTTTTTTCTCTCCTCTCCTCTCTTTTTTGGTCATTAGGGTTACTTATTAGTGTCTAAGATAGGATTTGAACTCAGGACTTCCTGAGGACAGGAACTGAGGAGGATTAGGGTTCAACTAGACAGAGATAAAAATGTGGAGAGAGTTAGCAGAGTAAAAATATTTTGAACATTTGAACAAAAAGAAAGGTAGATGGCACCAAAAGAAATAAGCAGACCAGAAGGTAAAGTCATGGAGTTAGAGGGGCTCCTCACCACATCCCTTGACTTTAACTGCCAGTTGTCCTTTCCTAAGGCCATTTGTGAGATATGAAGTATAGATCACAGCAATGAAGTGACACTTCTCTGTGGAAAAAAAAAGTGTGCTCCCCTCCCACCCACCAAATCTTTGTACCTGGAGCAAAGCACCTACTGCCCCACCCAAATTATGAGTTCCGTTCCAGGAACAATGATCTCTAGTATAATGGAATTCCTTCAATATTGGTGTGGGAACATAGGACTTGCAGTCACCTAAAAGGTCTTGGGTTCCAAAACAATAATTATGTATTTCCTAATAAATCTCAAACTTTTACTGCCGAATCTGTTAGCTAGTTATTTCTATGGTATTCTCCTCCTGGAACTACTGGAATAATATTTGAACTTATGTAAGAGCAAACTGTGTTATATTGAAAGCCTACTTTATGATATCCACTTAAAGAGATGATAGCACCATTAATGTAGAACTGGGAGGGAACTTAGGACATCATATGGTCCAAATTTCTGACTTTACAGTGAGCAAAGTGAGACCCAGTAGATAATAAATGAAAGAATTAGAATATGAACTGAGGTTCAGACTTCATATCCAGTGATCATTCCACTATGCCACCATTAAGCAAATGAATTCAGATGGATAAGTGCTTAATGAATACTATTCATTCACGCCTTCATTCCTTCCTTCCATCCTTCCTTCATTCGTTCATCTATTGTCTATTCAGCGTACCTGGAATCAGTCCTTTGGCTTTTCTGTGGGGCTTTAAGGGCTCTGATCTGACGCTACTGTTAATTAGTTTTTTGGCTTTTGAAGAATGATCAGCTGTTACTTATTTCCTGGACAGACATGAGTGTGCTTTGTTTTTGGCCTAGGAGGTTTTGTATGACTTTAGTCAACACTGCATCTTTATAATACATTCTTTGACTTTCGTCCCTTTTGTACAGTGTTGATTTGTTAGTGATTGCATAAACACGACCAACACACATTTAATCAGAAGTTGCCGACGATACCAATTTTGCTTCTCCATGACCTTTTCTTCCTTTCTTCTCCTTTTCTCTGTCAATATTTTGGCTAGTTCTCTCTGGTTATTAGAACATTCTCCATAACTGGCATCTTCCTTCCTTCCCCTGGCCCCCATCAGAGAGGAGGGATGCCAGTCTCTCAAATGCTACTTCTGAGTAGAAGCTCTGAAAAAGGTTTAGTGGGAGAGGAGTTTGAAGCTAATGGCTAAAATAAAGTTGGAGGATTATCAATGGATTTAATTTATCCCTATTATCCCTGGGCCCTGGGGGCATCCTGGCTCCTGTGACAGCCTCCTCTGTGTTCAGACTGGGCTTTCAAGAACTTTTCTCCTTATGCAAGTTTCCCTCAGATGGCCAAATTAATTCTGCTAATGAAGCGACAAGGTTATGTGACATAGAAGCAGGAAGGACAACTGTAATGGTGGAAATCAGTTCAAGGAGAGCCAGTGTGCACCCATTAATAAAGTACATGGAGCCTTCAGAATTATCTGCTTATGACTAATCCTGGTGTGGCAGTGGGCTTTTGGAAGCAACCACAAAACGTTTTGCTGTCACATAACCTTCTCACTTCCAAGAAACTTATTTAAACGAGGACAAACAAGTACTTTCCAATTCTGGATGGTTCTGAGGAAAAAAAATGAGTTTTGCAGAAGACCTTGACTATGGCCTTTTCAATGAGTATATAAATGGCTTTATGGTCTCCAAGGTAAGAATGTTACATAATGTAACAACTTGTTGGGAGGAAAACATTTTGTTTTGTAACTATGGTCTGGCTAAGATGTATCAGCATAACTGAGTAGTTGAACAATGCTCATTCTTTAATAGTGATCATAATTATTTACTACAATTCCGGGAAAAAAAAGAATAGCAGAGATGTACTTAGTTGGACTTTGGAACCTTTCCTTAGATAAAGAGGCATATTCTAGATATGCCTATTGTTATCTGTCCAAGGGCCTTCAGTAATTTGACTCAGTCATGGTAATAAAACCAATTTGTTTTATTAGAGATGTCAGTCAGTCAATAAATATTAAGAGCCTACTATGTGCTAGACATTGTGTTAAGCACAGAGGATACAAAGAAAGGCAAAAGAGAGTCCTTGCTCTTGGGGAGCTTACACTATAATGGGGGGAGATGACATGTAAAACAACTATATGTACAAACAAGAAATATTCAGAATAAACTAGGAATAATCAATAGAGGGAAGGCACTAGAATTAAGAGGGATTGGGAAAGAATTTTGATAGAAAGTGGGATTTTAGCTGGGACTTGAGGAAGTCAAGGGAGCAAGACAGCAGAACTGAGAAAGGGGAGCATTCCTTGTAAGAGGGATGGACTCCCCTTCCCTTCCCTTCCCTTCCCTTCCCTTCCCTTCCCTTCCCTTCCCTTCCCTTCCCTTCCCTTCCCTTTCCTTCCCTTCCCTTCCCTTTCCTTCCCTTCCCTTCCCTTCCCTTCCCTTCCCTTCCCTTCCCTTCCCTTCCCTTCCCTTCCCTTCCCTTCCCTTCCCTTTTCCATTTTCTTTTTCTTCTTTGGACTCCCCCTATGATTTTATAGCAGCAGGGAGCTCCCTCTACCATGTAGATCACACCCCCATAACATATAGTCTTACAGAATTGCCTGTAACACTGGGTTCAGTGACTCATCCATACTCATGTCGTGTAGACAATATAGGGCAAAGATGGGACTTGGACCCAGGTCTACCTGACCAAGGTCAGCTCTCTAATCACTCTGCTAATGCTTGTTGATTATAGTTCTCATAAAATCAGAAGGTGATTAATGTACAATAAAATCTATTTCATGTAGAACCTTGGAAATATAGAGTCATTTTAGTGTCACTCAGCATCTCTAATAGGCAGAAAGAGAGCATGAAATTTAGTCTATGTGAGCAGACATTGGTCTAGTCATGCTCCATTTTCATTGTCACAGATAAAACCTATATTTTCATGACATTTCTCAAAAACTTACTATGTTGATCTTGACTGGCAAAACTATGATACACATACGGATAAAAAGGGTCTCCACTTGCTTGATGTAAAATTCATGGTTTAGTTATAGTAAAACACAGAACAGGCAAGACTTTGGTAATAAGTTGGAGCAAAAGAAGAAATTAAAGTGTAATAATCCTACAGGCCAAGATATGCTTAAAGGCAGCCACATATGTTACTCAGATATATGACTTTGCAATTTCTTTTTGGCAAAAAATTTCTTTTGCCTGGAGGTTTTTCTATAATAAATTTGCCAGTAACTCATTCCAATTGTAAGAAGTCCTTCAGGAATTTCACTTTCCAGTATCTTTCTCCTGCCTGAGCTGATGATTTAAGATTTCATTTATATGTGGGTTTTTTTCTCCTTGTTTTCATTCTATTAAGCCAGTATTCCCGAAAATGGGGACTCCTAGGAGTTCACAAGGTCAAATTAATTTTCAAAATAACACTAAGGCATTCAAATTTCTAAAAGAGCAAATGTTTATAGATATAACCCACATAAACAGAGACTCTTTGGGATCCTCAATAATTTTTAAGCATATAAAGGGGTCAAGAATTACTTAAATGCTACTGCAGTTGAAGTAGAAAGGGAAGATGCCTGGGGAAACTTTGCATATTAAGAATCTCTCAGTTGCTTAACTTCTTTTTGCTGCTTCCCTTTTCCTTTCAGCATTTATCACTGCAAAGATTTGTATAAGAAACATAATGACAAATACGCTTTCCTCCTTGTCTTGGCCCTCTCCCATCCCTGTTATCAGCTCTAGACACAAAAAGGCAGTGAGATATAATGGAGAAAACACCAAATTTCGAGTTGGGAGAACCCCTTTTGAGGACCTGTCTTTGCCACTTGCTAACCATATGACCAGGGACTGATGTTTCTTTATCAAAACTGAAGAAAGTCATAGTTTACTACCTAACTCACAGTGATGTCACAGGAAATCAAAGTGCTGTGTAAATAAGAAATGTTGTTGAACATTTCTGTTCTCTCCCCTCTTTCTCCCATGCCAGCTAATAACCCCATACCTTATGGGACCAGTTCATTTTTCAAGAGAATGTTCAACTCTATATGCAATGCTCAGTGAAAAAGCAATGCATCTCTGAACCCATTAAGCTCCCATTAAGTATTTTCCCCAGAAGAATAAGGCATCCTAACTCTTTTTTGCTTTGCTTATTATGAGGCCATGTTTACCGCCTGTGAATTGGGAGTGTTTGACCTCTTGGAATCTGAAGGGTTCCTGACCTTCGATGTCATTGCTGAACGCTTAGGCACCAGTTCCCAAGGAATGGAGCAATTACTTGATATCTGTGTCACCCTGAAGCTACTAAAGATGGAGATGAAGAGAGAAAAAGGTAAATAAAATGTAATAGGAATAGGGTCCCCAACGGATTATTCTTATAATTTTAAATCATAGTGTCCCAAAGTTGGGGAAGCAGCATGGTGCAGTAGAAGAAGCACAGGCTCTGCAGTGAGAGGGTTTAAATTTAGGGGTGGGTGACCTGTGGCCTTGAGGTTACCCACCCCTGGTACATTCAGGGGTGATGCTCACTATCTGTGTGACCTTAGGAAATTCCTTTATTCTCCCTATCTCCCATTTTCATCACTTATGAAATGAGGGAGTTGGATTAGATGACTCTGTCTATGATAGAGCACGTATGATGCTATGATTTGGAAGGGCCATTTTTGCTAAGCCACCCACAAGCAGGAATCCTGTCTCCTGCATCCCTGACAAGTGGTCACCCTGCTTCCACTTTAGCATCAGCAGTGATGGGAAAATACGAAGCTTTAAAAGAGGTAGAGTAGATGAGTGCTCCCTTTTTAAGATTTAGGGACCCCTAGGATTAAGCTTAGAGAAGTTCAGATAAGGTTTAATACTGGTGTTAAGATTATTTAAAATCTTATTTGAAAACACACACTCTTAAATCTTAGGGAGGTCTTGATCAAAGGAGAAGAGTGAAGAAATCTGGTCTTCAATAGTAACAGTAGGGCTGTAGTGCTTATAAATGGGGCATGTAGTTACTGAGCTGTTGCTACTCTAATGGCAGACCTGGAACCAAGACAGTTTTGGACAGGACACAGATGGGCTAGCTTGGACCACTGTACACTGTAGGCTGAATTTTCATTCATTTAAATATCAAATAATCAAGGAATTCTGGGTGCAAGCCTGGCAGGGCTGTGTCTTGGGATAAGTTTATAGGACATCCTTTGAAGATATGTGTACAAAATATGGTGTTAGATTCCATGAGTTCTTGCATTATCTATCTCATAGGATAATATTTCATAAAAGTGTTTCATAAATTGTAAAGCAACATGTAAATAACAAAGTGGTTAGCGAGACAACCTTGGCATCAAGAAGGCCAGGGTTGGAGTCTTACCTCTGTCATACACTAATTGAATGATGATGGCAGGTCACTTAATCTCTTAGGGATCCTGATAACTCTGATTTTAAAAAAAAAGATAATAAAATTTGCAAAATGTAGGCCAGTGAACTTTACTTCAATTCCTGAAAAAATTCTGTTAGTAAAGAGATGGTGAAGAAAATAAGTTAGTGAAGAAATAGAAGTTATGATCACAAAACAGTAGCATGGCTTCAGCAAAACTAGATCGTAGTAGACTAATCTTATTTCCTTACTAAACTGGTAGATCAAGGCAATGCTAAAGTTATGACTTAACTAGGTTTTAGAAAAGTATTTGATAAAGAAACTCATGTTATTTGTGTGGAAAATTGGAGAGATGTTGGCTAGATACTCTGAGATGCATTAAGAATCAGTTGGATAGCCAGGTTCTGAAAGTAGTTGTTAATATTAATAAGTCAATGACAATTTTGAAGAAAGTTGCCAGTGGAATTGTGGCTTTTTAACATTTTCATCAGTGACAGATGAAAATGTATTTGGGATGCTCCTCAAATTTTCAATGCCACAAAGTTGGGAGAAACTTTGGAAGAGATGACATAGGGAGGCAGAGACAGGATTCAAAAAGATCCTGACTGGCTATAATTTTGGGTCAAATCTAATAAGATGAAATTTAATAGGCTTAAATTTAAAGTCTTAAATATGTGCTCAAAATAAATCAACTTAATAAGTACGTGGTGGGAGATATTTGTTTGGACAGTAGTTTGAAAAAAGATCCTGGACATCTTGGTAGAATGAAGACTCCAAAGGATTCAACAAAGAAGGTAGTCAAAAAAGAAAAGTGATCTTGGGCTATATTAAAGGATGATATTTTTTTTTTAGAAATAAGGAAATGATGATAGATCTGTTCTCTGTTCCAGTCAGACCAGATGTGGAGTGTTCGGTTCAGTTTTAAGTATCACATTTTTGGAAAGACATTGATAAATTGGAGTGCAATTGGAGAAGGGCAATGAAACTAAAGAAGAGCCTACAATCCAAGTCATAAGAGGAATGACAGAAGGAACTAGGGATCTTTAGCATAGAGTATAGGAGGTGTAGGGGTACATAATAATTTTCTTCAAGTATTTGGACCTTGATAATGTAGGTTGCACAGTGGATAGAGTGCCAGCTCTGGAGTCAGGAGGACCTGAGTTCAAATCTGCCCTCAGACACTTACTAGCTGTGTAACGTTGGATAAGTCACTTAAACCTGTTTGCCTCAGTTTCCTCGTCTGTAAAATGAGTTGGAGAAGGAAAGGGCAAATCACTCCAGTATCTTTGCCAAGAAAACCCCAAATGGGGTAATGAAGAGTCAGACATGACTGAAACAATTCAACAACAACAATGTGGAAGAGGGATTAGATTTATTTTGCATAGTTTCAGAGGAGAGAACTAGAAATAATAAGAGGAAGTCACAAAAAGGCCAATTTAAGTGTTATGTAAAACTTTGATTTGAAAATTTGATAACATTTAAAGCTATCCACAAGTGAATGTGTTGTTTGGCAGATGGCAGATGGCAGATCTTCAAGTAAAGTGGATTTTCACTTTTTGTCATGTTGCTTTGGGATTATTCTCTGGGGCTATGGATTGGATGACAAGTCCACTAAGGATCTTTCCATTTCCGAAATTCTATGTCTGATAGTGATGTAAAACTATTACATGATCAATTGGTTTCTGTTTTAATCCTGTAAACCCAGACTTCCAATGCATTATGATGATTGTCTAAGAGAAGTATTTTGTTAATATCATGCCCTCAATTTTATAGAGAACTTATTATAGGACAACACAATTTAAGAGTGAGAAAGGACCTGGAGTGACCATATGGCATAATGGAAAGAGTGAAGACCTTGGAGTAAAATCTTGCCTTTGACACTTGTGAGGTGGTTGACTATGTCCAAATTGCTTATCCCCTCTGAACTCCAGTTTTCTTATCTTTAAAATGAGAATAATAGATTTAGAAATGGAAAGGACTTTTAAAGTAATACTGGGAAAGACCTTAGCTTAAAAGGGCCGAGTCTCCCACTCATCCGGGACCACAGCCAGTCATCCTGACCTATGTCTTGCTACTGGGCACAGATGGTTCTGGAGGAGAGAGTGAGGCTGATGACTTTGTGCAGCCCTGCCTCCCTTAAATCCAATTCACTTGCAAGTCAAGACATCACCTCTTAAAGTCATTGGTCTGCTTTGAGATCAAAGGATGGATAATAACAAGCAAGAATAAGAACAATAATATCTATAGTCCTCTCATAAGGATGCTGTGATGATCAAATTGGATGCAAATTGCTTTGCTAGTCTTTAAGTGCTCCAAGATTTTCTGTCATTATTATTGATTTTCCTTTCCTTATCCTTTAATCCCTATAACAAGGGTACTTGCAGTCCAGTGTTTGCTAAGGCCCTTACATGGTTTGTTCTACCCCATTTGTAGAACTTAAGGCTCTATAAACCTGGGAAACCCAAAAAAATCTTTGGATTGAGTCTTGGTTGGCTTCTTTTAGCTAAATTGATGATATTCAACACTAAAATTCATTGCTCAGTTTTTTTTTAAAATAACAATACTACTTTCTCTTTTGCTTCCAATACATCTTCTAATGATGGCCAAAGCTTAATATTTTTCTGGTCTTTGGGGATGTTTCAGAACACTGAGTCCAGTGGCTTCAGATAATGTCCTTTAATATTTCCTGCTTATAACTTTCTTTGCTCCCTAAATGTGTTCCCTTACTTAAGTGGATAGTAGGTTGATGAGAATTTTACAAATACTCCTATTTATCCCTTACACTACTACTGACTTATTGTACAGATGGATTTCCCAGGATAGATGCTCCTTCTCTGCTCTGAGAAGTAGTATCAAAGGATCTGTGATTCTCTTTATTTTTTTGTTAGCTCTAAGTCCCCAGCCATGACAGCACTTTTGGCAAAACATTTCAGGTCAAATCTATCTCTATAACTATATTCCAAATAAACACCCAAACTCCATTCCTAATAAGCACAACAATAAATGCTAGTGGTTAACATTGTTTAGAAGGACATTTAAAACAAAGAAAGGTAAACAGACATGCTCAGAGGAAAAGTCTTGAGTCTCTCTGTAAGGAGTGATAGGAGAGAGAAAGGAGGGCAGGTAGGTGGCACAATGGATAAAGTGCCAGGCCTAGAGTCAAGAAGACTCATATCCCTGGGTTCAAATCTGGCCTCAGACACTTACTAGCTATGTGACCTTGGGCGAGTCATTTAATTCTGTTTGCCTCAGTTTCCTCAACTGTAAAATGAGCTAGAGAAGGAAATGGCAAACCACTCCAACATCCTTGCCAAGAAAACTCCAAATGGGATCACAAAGAGCCAGATGTGACTGAAAAATTGCAGAACACACATGAGAGAAAGGTGATACAAAACCACCACCTTTGGGTCCGGGAATATTTTAGCTCACAGCTTCTGTCCCAATGCACATCATGCTAATTAGTCCAAGGCCAGAGTCCTAGCCCCTTTCTTTTTGGTGCTTTCCCCTCTCCAGATTTTCTTTCTGCAAGCTCCGTCTAGCTTGTCTGTTACCTGAACTCAGTGAACTTTCCAAGTCACCTAGAGCTGTGGCCTACAGTTCTTCATCCTTTATTGCGTTCTTTCTAATACACTCAGAGGGCCTAATCTGCACCTCATGAAAAGATCACCTGGTGAGGCTGAATTTTTATAGTTAGCTTAACAGCTCATTTGGTCTGTGAAAAATCAACTTCCTTACACTTACCTCAAGGTTCTTCTACCAATTCAGTTTCCTGATAGAATCATAGAATTTCAAAGCTAGAAAGGGCCTCAGACACCATCTAGTCCAGTGGTATCAAACTCAAATAGTAAAAGGGGACATTAAACTGTACATAAAGATCTCTGTGGGTATATTGACTTAGAAAACTACATATTACAATAGTCTATGTTTTATTGTATTTTAATTTATTTTGTTAAATATATTTCAGTTACACTTTAATCTGGTTTGAGGGGTACTCAGCAGTGTTGTGACCAATGGGATGTAGTTTTTAATCTATCTGATCTCATCCACACCCCTTTAGAGATCAGGAAACTGGTGTTCAGAGAGTTTAACTGATGATTCAAGGTCACACAGCAGATTCCAGGGCTTCTGACTCTCAATTCAGTGCTTTTCCTATGATAGCATATTGCTTTATATAGACTTGCTATAGTTCTGCCTCATAGGCTTGACATACTATTACCCAGAAGATTTGTGCTATCTGTAAGACTTAAAGATGTACTTTCTATCTTTGAGATATTTTATGCCATTATTAAGTATCTAACCGCTAAGACTTTATCCGGAGAAATATTTGTTATTTCCTAATTTTAATTTTGTATCTCTAAGTTATTTTCTTCCTCATGATAAAACATTGTCTTTATTCTTGGGGTGACTCATTTCACTTTTTTAAAAAAAGGTTTTTTTTACAAAATTAAGAAGTTAAACCCATGAGATTTAACTTGTTTATGCATTTACTTATTCTCTCTTTAGTAAATCTAATAAATTGATCAGGCATGATTTTCCTACTAAATCCACATACCATGTCAGCTTGCAATTTGAGGTAATTTAAGTGCTCAAAGGGGGTAAATGAACTCAATGCACTTACAATGATGGTAAAGGCAATAATTATGTTTCCTTTTCAGCTTTATATCAAAACACAGAACTTTCCACCCTTTATCTCACCAAGACTGGCACTAAATCCCAGTACAATATGCTACTTTACATGTCCAAAACTACCTACTCATGTTGGAATCACTTAACTGAAGCCATAAGGTAAGGTAGGCAGGATGTTTCAAACAGTGATAGCTTATTCTCTGCTATTTTATTTATACACTTGAAAAGTGCAAAAAAAATTACTAGGCTTCTTTCAAACATAACTTATTAAATTAACCTGAAATTGATTTAAAACAGTAGTTTACTTTCTCTTAGAGTAGCACTTGGTGGGATTCATTAAATCAATACCAGAAGAACAGGACACTTGAATTAAATATAGAAATACCTGTGTTACCTGTCAATATCTAGAAAGCTATGCTAATGGAGGTAAGTGATGATGTAGATAATCTAAAATGAGAGAGGGGAGATCCTAAATAATGTATATGCACCTAAGTCATGTAATGAATGGAATGTGAGACTTGGATTCAGTAAAAACTGAGTTCAAATCCTACCTCACACATTTACTAGCTGTGTGATCCTGGACAAATCATTTAACCTCTCAGCCTTAGTTTCCTCATCTTTAAAATAGATATGATAGAGTCATTGTGAGGACCATACCGGATAACATGTGTAAAGCATTTTTCAAATCTTCTGTAGTTTATAAACTCTAGTTATCTTAATTCTGAGTCTGATTCCATCATAGTTATTTTTGAATGTAGTTGTTTTGTAGGAAATTTTACTTAGATATCTCATCATGGTATGAAGGTAAGCCATAGATTCTCAAAAATTATGCCAGCAAAGCACAACATCCATGATTCTATTATGTTAGAAAAACTTCAAGTATAGACCTGGTAACAGATGGAGTCTTGTCTGAGGACCAGCCTACCTAAGTACAGAGAAGTACTTTACCACTAGGCTGGCCATTTGATGAAGGATTCTATGGCTACTGCAACTCTTGAAACAAACAAAAATATAAATTGCCTCCTAGTGCTTTTACTTTTGCAGTGATAGCAGAAAAGATGTGGAAAAAGGGCCAGGGGCCACCATAAAAGTAAGGAAAAATTTTTAGGCCATCCATAAACATTAATTTTACAGTTGGTACTCTACATGTGATTTTTGTCTCGTGACCAAGGAAATATAATACTGGAGGGCCTGAATCATAATAATCTTGACATTGTCACTAGAAATGAAAAAAAGAAGGAAATTGTAGCTAAATGGAAAGATGGATCTGTTTTTCATTATAGAGGCAAATAAAGGAATTGACTAAATAGCATTTTTGATGTGCCCCAAAATAAGAAAAATCATTTCATGGGTATTTGGTCATCTTATTTTGCAAATACACAATGGGTATTTGCAAAAAGTTCACCATGAAAATAATGGTATTTGAACTAATATATATATATATATATATTATTTTTTTTTTGCAGAGGATAAAGAGGTAAAGAAATTCTATGAAGAACTTTATAAAACACACCATACTAAATCAATACATACTTTGATATTATCTGGCTTCAAAGCAAAAACAGGAGTAGGACAGGATGGTGAGAAATATTTTGGAAAGCAGGAGTACTGAATCAAGTGTAAGGAAATAGAAAGTCTAAAGACTGGTAGACTGTGTAGCAACCTCATACTTATGTATGATGGATACCTTTTTCAAAAAAAGCGTTGGTAGCTGAAGGATATATGGAACACAAAATAACATCACACACAAAAAACCGATTGTATGTTTAAATTATTTTTGTAATTTTGAACTTGATAAGTACTAACAATCATGAATATTTTAATATAAAAAGAACAGAAAAAGAGAATTGCATATGAAACTGTAAATCCCCATTTCCTACAGTTTGTTTTTTAAGTATATAATAAATTCAGCATGTTAGTTCCATAGCTGTCTCACTTGCCTGTGTTTCCCTCTGAACCTCCTATGGATTAATGATGCTTATTTCTTACTTTCTTGGGGGGCATTATTGTGGCCCGGTGTGGTACTGGATAGCGGCACACAGATGCAAACAATATCACCTTCCATCCAGTGTGGTACCCTCACTCACTTCAGTTTTCTTAGAGATGGCTCACTTACCCCAAATGCCTTCTCACTAGCAAATCTTGGAGTTTTCCCAGAATGAAACTGACCTCAGTCATCACCTCTTCACTATAATTTATGCCCTCTCATGGTGCTAGGGGCATTCCTGACGAGGGAAGAATACATTCCTAGTACTCAAAACTGTAACCCCTGAGCCACCAACAATATGCTTTCCATTTACACAAAATCATGAACAATGATACCATTGACTCAGACACAAATAATTTACTAAATGATAATGAAAAAGCAGTAATAATCATAACATTTACTCAAATAGAGTGTAAGATAGTAATGATCATAACTTAACTCAGTAGAAGGCAAACCAAAAATAACAAAAATACCATAGTTATTCAATAGAAGGCAAAAGCAGGAATGATCAAAACATCATAGTCATCTCATAAACCTGGATCACATTCTCTTAGTCATCTATGCAATGTCCATGGAGGAAAGTGGGCACACACTTATAGAAATCTGGGAGGAAGGCACATGAGAAGGAAAAAAATAACATGCACTGGGGCAATTCAAAACTCTGGAATGCACACTTGAAATCCTTGGTCCCTTCAGGGACAATCTGCACCACATGAAACCACTTCTCTGCTAGCTGCTTCCCTTCTGATCTTCATTTTTCTCTTGCTAGGCAAAACTGCTCCTCTTCTGTTCTCAAGCTGGTGAGAATTCCAAATCCCTTGGAGACTAAAAGAGACTAAAAATCTCCTTAATCAGCAAACATTTGACAAGCAGAAAGAGATGCCAATCAAAGACATCACATCAATAATTTAGAACATAAACTTATGTGTAAGATGTCATGGTGAAATGATGAACAGTTATGAGCAATATCATTCAAGATAAAGAGAGAAATAGAGAGAACGAAGGAGAGACAGAGTTACAGAGAGAAGAGAAAATGAGAAAGAGAGAGAGAAAGAGAAAGAAATAGAGAGAGAAAGAGAGAATGAGAAAGAGAGAGAAAGAGAGAGAAGCAATAGAGAATAAAACCAGTTGAAATAAAGTTTGTGGGGAAGTTTTAGCTCAACAAGTTGTCCCAAGAACATTAAAGGATAAAAAATGGAAGGAGGGCAACAAATAGGAGAAAATGGAAAACATCTGCAAAGTTTAAGTTGTATTTTTTTCCCTTCATCAAAGATAGTAGAACCGTCATACTTAGACTCTAATAGATGGCATATAAATGACATAAAGAACAAAGAACTAGACCAAGTATAGACAAAGGAAATCTATGCAGGAGTCAATATAATTGTGAAGATATTATGAGATTTATTTACAAATTATCTAAAGTAAGGGAAGATACCACAGATATAGAAAAATGTCAGACCTCATTAATACTGTAAAAGGGCAACCAAAACAGCATCTACCAATTAATAGTCCTACTTTCCTAACTACATATAATTTTAAGGAAAATCATTTTCACACATTGAAGAAATCTTTTTCTTTTTTTTAGCGATTTATTGAAGAAATCTTTGTTGAGGGCATTAAGAACATGTTGCCTTCACAAATAATGTTACGTAATGCACTGCATCTGTATTATCATGTAATTTTGGGAAGTTGTAGACAATACAACAACCCTCTGTGCTTATTGTTGATTGATTTAAAAAAATTTTTTTTTTGGTAGGGCAAATGCTGACTAAAAGGCTCTCTTCCAATAGTAAATCTTCCATCCAAACCTCACAATTATTCAAGAATCCTTAAAAGATATGGTGATGGAGATCAGCAGCTCTCTTTCCATCAATATCACATAAATGGGTTAAACCAGAAGAAGTATGCCTGCCAAAGATGTTTGTGATAGTAATGGAGATGAGTCTCCCGTGGCAATCCATCCATCTTATGTTTTCTTGTTTGTTTGTTTTTTTAAAGGTAGTTGGGGTTAAGTGACTTGTCCAGGGTCACACAGCTAGTAAGTGTCAACATCTTATGTTTTCTTAAAATTGCTTTAAAGAATATTTTTCAACCCTTTTTTTTTCCAGTGGCCTCTTACTGAGTATCTTCCTTGGCTCAACTTGAAGAACAGTGCTCGTTAAGGGAGCCTACAGTTGGGCATGTGTATTTATGAGCTCATTAAGAAAGGGTTTATATGTACTCAGGACTCTGGAACATCTAGTAATATGCTGATGCTCAGTAAGTACACATAAGTAATAATAGCTTTTTCCCCCTCAGGGAAGGAAAAAATCAATATTTGAGGACATTTGGTATTCCATCAGATGATCTTTTTGAAGCTATCTACAGGTAATATGAACACTCTGATATTCTGTTCTCCTTATTTATAATTACTGTAGGAGGGAATAAGTAGGAATAAAAAGACAAATTGAAGCTGAGACTTGTGGTTATCCAAATAATTTTAGCAATGACTATAGGCAACTATATAATTCAGTCCTGTGGAGTTTACACTTAGTTTACACTTATCCAACCTACAATAAAAGAAACTCAGCAGAGCTCTGAGCCAATGGCACTTTATTAAATTGTCCATGGCCCTCTCCAATGAAGTGGACTTCAGATCCTCCTCATGATCTGAGATGCCCTGGTCCCCAGATTTGATACTGAAATATGCAAAAGAGACATGGTAAAATACAGAATCTCATTGGTTTATAGATCTTGCTCTTGAGGGCCAAAAAATGAAGTATTAGCCAAAAAATGATATATCAACTAAGGGGATGGTCCACAGGTTGGGTGAAGCACAGGCCATTGCTACTGACTAAATGGTTATAAGATGATCATAAGATGGTTACCTGCTCATGTTGGATAAGAGAGAGTGGTTCAGAAGTACAAAAATAAGTTGAGCAATTTCCAAAAAATCAAGGCGTCTCACACATGCAAGGCTTGGGACATGGAATTTGAGCAAAACAGGATGGAGATATCTTTGTCAGCATTTTTGTGCTTGTGCAAGTGAGCATCATAATTGGAAAACAAGTAATGAATATTACGTTAAAGTTTTAGGCCCGTTGCAAAGGCCTACATAATAATCTATTTTATCTTATCATCCCTATATGATTTATGTAAAATATCAAACTGATTAATACTAATTGGAATAGAGTAGGAGTCCAAATGAATCATTTCTTACTGACCATCTCAAAGTATATTTGTGTCCTGAGTCATCTCAACATGAATATCTACACCAATTAAATCCCTAATCACTTCACTTTGAGTATACAGACACAATCTAAAATCTATCTTATTTGGGGCTGAAGAATCCATGCAATTTTCCCCTTTGTTTTGATGTATAGATTTGTCATCAATGTTTGAATAATGCTTTGATATTAAACTTCTATGACAATATCTTCATCATTTGATGAAATGGAAACAAGCCCTCTTCAATGATAATAAATGTGTTTCATTATATAAAACTCATCAGGAGAAAGTTATAGAAGGCTTATTGGATCAAAAGATCTAATAAGACTAAAAATGCATTTTCAGAGAAAAGATTAAGGTTTATTTTCTAACCTAGGCAAAATCCAATCCATTACTGATATCCCTTTTTAAAAAAGTGTTAGCAATTTAACTAATTTAAAAAATTAGTTAGGGATTGCCTTTAATCACTTTTCACAGTGATATATAGAATATTTAATGTAGTTTTTTTTCCTTCTCATGTGATTTCATAAGTACAGTACATGGGTATTCCTGAAAAGGAGCATTCTCTCAACATTGCTGGGAGGCTTAGAGAATTGTTTGGGACACTGAGAGATTAAGTGACTTACCTAGGATCTTATAGCTAGTATTGTTAGAGGTGAGACTTGAACCCAGGTCTGACTCCAATGTTGGCTGTCTATCTACTACTTCATACTGTTTCTTGATATAATGTGACATTTATTATTTCAACTACTAGGTCAGAGGAAGAGCTGGTAAAATTCATGCATGGCCTACATGAGATTTGGAGTATTAATGGCAGAGATGTGATTACTGCATTTGACCTTTCACCCTTCCCCCTCATTTATGATCTTGGTGGTAAGTATTGGCGAAAGAATTAAGGATTGTTTCAAATACTCTAGGTAAGTGCTGAGAACCAAGAACTTTCACGGAGGTTGAATAAAAATTGTACATGAGGCTTAGAATCATGCTTTATATAATTCCTACTATGTGCCAGGTACTGCATGAAGGGTATCCCACAACAAACCTGTGAGGTGGGTGCTATAATTATCCCTATTTTATAGTTGAGGAAACTGAGACAAACAGAGGTTAAGGGACTTGCCCAGGGTCACACAGCTAGTGAGTGTTGAAAGCTGGTTTTTTACTCGTTTTTCTGACTCCCTGCCCAACATTCTATCCACTGTATTACCAGCTGCCTCTGGAAGGCAAGAAAAGGTAAGTTCCTTCTAGTCTGAGGTTCTGGCCTTCAAAAAGATAATCATTTCTAAATTCCTGAGCCCCAAACACTTGCTCTACTTTGTTGGCTCATTTATTAGGAATTTTAGAGAGGGTAGGATAATGTACAGTGTTAAGTGGTCTGAATCTGGAGTCTGGGGAATCTGTATTTGAATCCTAACTCTAAGTGGCCTCAGTTGCCACTTAACATCAGTCTTTTCATCCCTAAAATGGCCAGGTAGGATTACATGATACCTGAGGCCCTTTCCAGAGCTAAACTTTATGTTCCTTTAATAGTTTGCCTCAGGAACTGAGGCAGTATCCATGATTTTGTGATCCAAGGAGCCTTACCTAGAGTGATTCGTTAATAGCCAGTGACATTTCTCTGTGGAAGATTACTTTTGATAAAGTAGAAGGAAACATTTTGCTCAGCTGTCTTAAGGTAGTAGGAGTGCCCACTTTAAGAAGTTAGCATCCACATTCAAATGCCCTGACATTTTTGTCTTTGACATTCTCTCTACCATCAAGTAAGCTAAGTAAATGAATGTATTTTTCAGTTGTGTCCTACTCTTTGTGACTTCATTTGGAGTTTTCTTGGCAGAGATTAAGGAGTGGTTTTGCCATTTCCTTCTCCAGCTCATTTTACACGTGAAGAAATAAGGAAAACATGGTTAAGTAACTTGCTCAGGGTCACACAGTTAGTAAATGTCTGAAGCTGGATTTGAACTCAGGTGAATGAGTCTTCCTGATTCCAAACCTAGTGCTCTATCCACTGTACAACCCAACTATTGATGGTATTTATTAAGCACTGATGATGTGCTAGGTGCTAGGGATACAAGTACAAAGAATGAAACAATCCCTATTCCCAAGGAGTTCACATTTTTATGTGGGAGATAAGTACATACAAAATATATATAGTACATATATGTATTTATACATATATACACATATATAACAAATAAATATATAAAAATAGTTAAATATAAGGTAGTTTGAGAGAGAGAATTTTAGCAGTTGTGGGGATCAGGAGAGATTTTATGTACAAGATGGGACCTAAGCTGTTTCTTAAAAGAGGAGAGGGAGTCTATGAGGAAGAGGTAAGGAGAGAGTGCATTGTCGGAATGGAGGACAGCTAATGTAAAGGCTCATGAGTGAGGAACAGAGAGAAAGGTGATTCGGCTGGATCGCAGAAGTGACTTGCCTAGGGTCACACAGCTAGTAAGTTTGGTCTGAGACTGGATTTGAACTCAGGTCCTCCTGACTTCAGGGCCAGTGCTCTATTCACTTCACCACCTAGCTGTCCCTTGCAGAGCATGTTAAGAAGAGTAATGTCCCATGAGCATGAAAAATAGGTTAGGGTGAAGTTGTTTTGGGTTTTGAAAGCTGAACAGGAATTTATATTTTATCCCATAGGCAATGAGAAGCCATTGGAATTGGTTGAGTAGTGGAGCACATTGTCAGATCTATGCTTCAGGCAAATTACTTTGGAAGCTATGTTGACTGGACTGGAGTGGTGCCAGCATGAGGCAAGGCGGCCAATTAAAAGGCTGCTGCAATAATCTAGGCAGAAGTGATGAGGTAACTGTGTGAGTGAACAGAAGGGTCTGCATTCAGGAGATGTTATGAAGGTAGAACTGACAAGATTTGATGAATGAATGGACATGTGAGGTGAAAGAAAATCAGGAGTGCAGGTTATTATTGAGATTATGAACCTGCAACATTGGAAATAATGGTGACAATAGAACTATGAAAATTTGGAAGAGGGGAGAGTTTGTGGGGATAATGGGTTCAATTTTTGGCACGTTGAGTTTCAGATGCTCCTGGGACAACTAGTTTGAAATGTCCAGTAGACAATTTGCTTTCTGGAGATTGGGGCTATATATATAGATTTAGGACTGATCTGCACACAGATGATAGAGAACAAATTAAAAAAAAATGATTGAGGAATATATAAAAATATATTGTTGAATCTGTTTTAAAAACACTGGTATAGTCTTCCTACTATGTAAGTTCCAAAGCTGCATGTTTTGACATTTAAAACTGCTCAAGAAAGAACTATCCATTCAGAAATAAGCCAGGTGAAAAAGCAGTTCTGCCAGCAGAGGGCCACTTACTCCAACTGTCAACAATCTTTAGTAGACTCAGAGAGGAAACAACCCTTTCAGTTGTATACTAAGTAACCTTGAGGGGGGCCATTTCCAGTAGTTCCTGATCTATATCTTGCCACTGGACCCTGATGGCTTCAGAGGAGAAAGTGAGGCTGGTGACTCTACATAGCCCTCCCTCACTTAAATCGAATTCACTTGCAAGTCATGGAATCACCTTCTGCATGTCATGGTCCTCTTCCAAAACGAAAGACAAACAACAACAACAGGTAGCCTGAGCCAAAGAACTCTCAGAGCAAAATACTCAACAGAAAGGCAATAGGAAAGACCTGGCGGTGGAGGATTGAGCAGAAGACCCTCAATCAGTTTATTTCCCACCAGCCTAGTTGATGAAATTACAGAATGTTAAGGATCAGGGAACTGAGATAATAGATTGTTGAGGTCTTAAACAAAATGTAGGAAAAGTTTCACACTTTGTTAGGCCTTTATGAAGTGTGAAGAAGTTTTTCAATTAAGCTTGATGGAATGATTAGGTTGCTAAAGAATGATCACACCCTTGGCAGACCTTTAAACATTGAGACACATTTCTAGGCAGAAAAATAATTCTGAGAAAATGTGACCTCTGGTAGCAGAAAAGAGAGCCATCTATGGAGGAAAAACTCAGGTCTTGAGAGGAAATTATCCCTTTTTTGGGTGAGGGGATATCATGAAGAAGGGATTTCTGTCCATAAAGCATGATGGATCTACTTTCCCATTAGCTGGAGACATTGCATCCATCAGCGAGCAGGCCCTGTTAGTCAAGGCATAAGACTGGAAGAAGCTTGTGACTTGAGGTAGTGTTAGACTTGAACTTTGGGATTTGGTCTGCAGAGACGAACAGACCCAAGTAACCCATCTGAGTGAGCTGCTCATCAGAGGGCTTTCACCCAAGAGCAATAGCATGAGGACATCACTAGAGGAGATGGGCATTAAAGCCCCATAGTACTGGAGCAGTAAATTTCTTTGGCCACCTTCCTTAACTGTATGCCTCTCAAATAATGCACTCTATAAATGAATGAACAGAAAGGCATTTATTAAACACTTTCTATTAGTAATAGAATGAAGCAAGATAATCCCTGCCCTCAAGGAGCTGACTCTTTGGGGCAAATCAAACATATAAGAGAGTTCAGCTGCAAGGGGCATGTGGAAACTTAGGAGTCCCATCTAGCAATCAGTAAAATGAATGGCCAGGCCTTAGGATGAATTAGCAGGTCAGATGGCCTAGAAAATCTGGATGGCATAGTGGAAGGTCAACAGATTTTTAGACATTTTAGTTTTCCTTGTTACCCGAAAGATTCCTAGTCACCCAGTTGTAGACTCATAACTCACCCAAGTGGTGTGAATAGCTATGTTGCTCTTATTGCCAGATCACCCTGAATAGGGTCTTGACAGCCAGGAAAAGGTGAAGAGAAGGCACAGGTTGGAAGGTTGTTATCTGCTGTAGAGTTTCCCCACTGACACCATATACAGCTGTGAGAGAAGGTGGCTATAGGTTTATGTTACTATTGCTTATGCTGTGCCATCTCAGCATGTACTTGTGTTTTGGACTGATTCTGTCTACTAGCTAAGTAGTTCAGGATAAAACACCAATTGTTGATTCATGTGAAGTAGTTTTAGGAGTGTGAACCTGCAGAATACTTTGAACTCTGTGGGTCCACACTGTACCTAAAACCTGAGGTACTTATCTCCCAGAAGACCTAGCCTGTGAATGAGCATGATTGGGGAGGGGGGAAGGTAGCCCAGAAGGGGTGCTACAGGAAACTGAAGAGAGCAAAACAAAAATTTTCCAATATATGACATCCTCCATCTTCCTAAATTTGCCATTTGTTTATTGTACATTGTAAAAATATCCCTTTTTGCATTATTACCCCACCCTAAACTCATATTCAAAAGTTAGATCACTCAGTGGATAACTACACCCAAGTTCAAGGTACTCTGTGGGTCCACATGACCCTCCCCCAATATATTTACCTTGAATAGACTTCAAATAGACAGTTGCTTCATAGAAAAGACATTCACTGAGATGGTGTAGGGTGAACAACAGTAATAATGTGAAATAAGCAGAATCATGAAAACAATATGCACAGTGACTATCACAATATAAATAGAAAGAACAATAAAGAACAAAAGAATAAAAGCTGAACGCTGCATCTGTATCATGACCAAACTTGGTCCTAAAGAACAGATATAAAGATATCTGTCTCCATTTCACAGGTTGGTTGTGGAACACTACCTGCATCAAATAGTTTTGATATGTTAATTAGTTTTGCTAAACTTTCTCCCCTCTTTTTAATTTCTGAATGTAAGGGATGGCTATGTAGGTGAGTTGGAAGGAGGAATATGGTGGAAAAAGTAGGTGATGTAAAAGCAAAAGATAGCAATAATTTTTTTTCTAAAAAAATGAGTAGGTGTGTCCTTTAGCTTTAAGGAATTTAGACTCTTATCAGAGGTAGGATGAAGGCATAATCAGTGGAAACATATAGTGGAGATATGGCAATTACATATTATTACACTTGTCCACTGGTCATTCATGACATGTGAGGTTTTGCTGGCTCAAGGTTACAGGCTTGGTTTGTGAGCATTTGAGCCCTAGAGACAAGAGTACTGTGGTTTGATACACCTGGTTGGGTGTATCATTGTGAAGACAGACAGTAGGAACAGGAAAGAGCCAAGGCATTATGGTCTGTGTAGCCTTGGGCAAATAGCTGGAAATCTCTCAATTGCAAAATGAGGTTTTCAGACTAGCTGAGCTCTGATATTCCTTCCAACTAAATTCTATGGTGATATCATAATCTGAAGGCATGAAATAGTGTCCAGGAACTCTACTGGGCAGCATAGTTGAAAGGTTATGATAGAAGTGGTCTTTGGAGTCTCTGTAGTACCAGCAGCCAGGAGGGAAGAGGTCTATGGCAAGGCAGCTATCAGACAGCTTTTGTTCATTTTCAAAGTAAGGCAGAGTAGGGCACCTTGCTCAACTCTTAAGTGCCTGGCCAATCTCAGTAACCTAAACTTGAAGGGCTTTCAATGATCCACAGCTAGGGTGTATCATTGTCTGTCTAAATAGCTAAATAGCTTGGGGGCTTAGAATCTGATTCTCTCCCTTCTCCTTAGAACATGATTGGGGAGGGGAAGGGGTAGGTGGTATGGTACAGTGAACTCTTTTGTTTTTTGTCTTTCTATTCCCAGCACCTACTATACAGCCTTGCACTTAAGAGGTGTTTGATAAAGGTGGAAAGTGAATAGTCTTACATGCATTCAAGAGAGCTTGGTAGGAGCCCAGGTTCTCAATGCTTAACTAGCTTTGTGAACGTGGGCACTTCACTTATGCTCATTGAGGCATTGTTTACTAATCTGTAAAATGGGCATAATACTACTTGTGCTGCCCAATTCAGAGGCTTCTTTTTTATTGTTTTTTTGGCTAGGCAATGGGGTTAAGTGACTTGCCCAGGGTCACACAGCAAGTAAGTGTCAACTGTCTGAGGTCAGATTTGAATTCAGTTCCTCCTGACTCCAGGTCTGGTGCTCTATCCACTGTGCCACCTAGCTGCTCCTAGAGGTTTCTTTTGAGAAAGGTGCTTTCTGCTATATTAATATGAGCTTTTGTCTTCTGAGCATGCAAAGACTATGACACAGAACAGAAAAGCTCAAGTCAGAGATTGTGTTGCAAGACAGGAAAATAGATTGTAGTAATTAAATAAAAAATTTGACAGACATTATTAAGCACTTATTACATATAAGACACTGTATTAGATTATGGCAGCTCAAAGATAAAAATAAAACATGCATAAAATATATTCCTGTCCTTGGGTTTAAAATCTAGTAGAAAGAATGAGACATGCACATAAGTAACTATATTACAAGTTAGAAAATGAAGTAAGGTGGGGTGGTGTACAAACAGAATAGCCTGAGAAATTCAAGTGAGGAGGAACTTATTTCTAGTTTTGGAGATCACTGCAGGCATTGTGGAAGAAGTATGACATATAGGAAGGATATCTAGGTTTGGAGTCTGAGGGCTTGGGTGTGAATTCCAACTCCAATGGGTATTACATATATGGTCTTGAGTAAGTTACTTGATCTTTTCAGGCCTCAGTTTCCTTGTCTGAAAAATAAGGAGAGTTGAACTAGATGATCTCTGAGGTCTCTTCCTGCTCTAAATCCATAATTCTACAAGATGGCATCTGTGGAAGTCCTTGAAATAGGGGAAAGATATCATTAGGCAGAGATGGAGTGGGGGCCAGGAAGCATACAGAGAAAGGGAAATTTTCTGAATCCTGGTGCTAGTGAAAAATTAAATGACCAAAAAAACCCCAGCAGTTAGAAAAAGGGAGAAAGTGAAGATCCTGGACAATTATTATCTTGAATGAAGGGCCCCTGGAGTTGACTGATTAGTGATGTCTGTGCAACTGGTGGGACCTCCATCTTTAGCTGAGATTCTTCCTCTATTTTTGATATTGAGGTTGTTCAGGTGCCCTAGCCAAGGAGTGTATCACCATATATCCTGAATGCCAAGTGACAATATTTGAAAAGGAAGAGGTGGTACAAGTGGCAAGGAAGCATTTTCCATTCCTGGAGGAACCTCGGATCAGTTTCCACATCGGTAGGTCTGGGATGTATGGTTTAAGTCTACAAGGAAAGACAGATATTGTTCAAGGGATAAGCTTTTTATTTTTTTATTTTTTATAAAATACATTTGAAGTAATGGATGACCCTAGGTTATATCTGGAAGGGAACATATCCATCATTTGTCCAAGCCCTTCATGTTACAGAAAAGGAAACTGAAGCCCAAGAGGTAAAGCAAAATTCATCACACAATTGGGAAGGCAACCCAGGTCGCCTGACTACAGAAGCAACACTCTTTACCCTCTTACCCTAGAGGAAATAGGGAGCCATGAAGATCTGATTTTTCTTGATATATTTGAAAAGGTTTTACTTCCTCTTCTCCATCTGTAATGACCCCAGTAGTACCCTCCCTGCCCTGAAAAAGGAAGAAATCCTGGAGAAGCTTCATTGTGGATGTGCCCTTAATAAAACTGGTTTCCTGTACTGTCTTATGTGTTCCATGTTTCCTTGTAGTGGACTATCAGTATTCAGAACTTTCCCAAGAATGCAGCAAGACACCACTACACACACCTCCTTGGGTGCACCTTTTGAGAAAAAAAAAAGCTTAATCAGAACTGCACAATATAGCGATTACCTGGGTAGAACATAAGGTCCTTTCAGAAGGGACTATCTTGACCTTTGTTTTTCTATTCCCAGCACCTGTGCACAGTGTCTTGCATATCATAAGAGGTTAGTTACTAAGTACTTGTTGGATTAAATTGACCTTCGAAACACTTGACACAATTTTACATTCACATAAGAAGTTGTTTGTTATCTGAGTCTTAGGTAAGCACCATTTGTAAAGATTCTAGGGGATACCATGAAGCCAGGAGGCAGGGGAGAGAACCATAGATGTTATGCTCAGTATCTAAGTGATGTTCAGAAAGTCTATAGAACTTCTTATATAATTTTTAAGAAAATCATCTATATTGTTGCTTTATGATTAATTCTCTGTTGTCTTCCATCAAAACTATAATATCACAAAATGAAACAAATATATGGGACTAGATTTCATGGGAAATTACAGGAAAAATGATGGGCTAAGAAGTATTTTTCATTATTTCATCCTAGAAGATCAAGCTGAAAACATAAGTGGAAATTGAATGAAAACTTCCCCTTTTCATTTAATCATCAGATTCTGGCTTCTCAGTTTTGAAATTATGCCTCAAGAGACAAATACAAATAATAATAACTTACATTTTTATGATAGTTTGAGATTTCCAAAAAATACTTTCCTAACAACAGCCATGTGAAGGTAGTTTAAATATTATTATACCCACTTTATAGATGAGAAAATGGGAAGCATGGTGCAGTGAAATGAGCATTGGATTTTGAATCAGAGGACCTGGATTTGTGTTCCTTTTGTTGCTACTTATTTGTGTAATCATAGGAAAGTGACTCACCCACTATGGACCTCAATTTCCTCACCTGTAAAAAGAGAGGGTATACTAATTGATTTCTAAGGTCTTTTCCAGTACTAAATCTTATGAATATGCTTTTCACGTATATTCATAAAAACCTTTCTAAACACAGAGGGGTTAAATAATTTACACAGGGTCTGATGGCCAACGGATGATCTAGTAGGTATGCACAAACTACATGAATCTTTGCATACATTTGAAAGGTAGAATTTAAGGGGCAGCTAGGTGGCACAGTGGATAGAGCACCAGCCCTGAAGTCAGTAGGACCTGAGTTCAAATCTGACTTCAGACCAAACACTTTACACTAGCTGTGTGACCCTGGGAAGTCACTTAACCCCAATTGCCTAAAAAAAAAAAGTTTGGATTTAAGTTCTTCTTTTTGTATCTCCAAAGCTTAGCACAGTGACTGGCACATAGTAGGTACATAATAAATGTTTTTATTGCCATTCTGTTTTCTCTAGAAATCTATCATATATAACTTTTCTAAGATTCTATTTATCTCCTTAGCTTCTTTCTTATTTGTTTTATGGTTAGATTTATTTAAATCTGAGAGTAGAAAGTTGAAGTCCCCTACTAGCAAAGTTTTACTATTTCCTTCTGTAACTTATTTAATTTTTCCTTTTAGAATGTGGATACTATGGCATTTGGTGAATATATATTTAATATTGAGCTTACTTCATTGTCTATGGTACCTTTTTAAGCAAATGTTGTTTTCTTGCTCATCACTTTTAATTAGATCTATTTTTACTCTTGCTTTGTCTAAGATCATGATTAATATCTCTGTCGGTTTTTTCTTTTTAACCTCAGCTGAAGCATAGTAGATTCTGTTCCAGCCCCTTATTTTTACTCTGTGTTGTGTGTCTCTCTGTTTCAAATATGTTTCTTGTAAAGAACATATTTCTGGATTCTGGTTATTAATCCATTCTGCTATCTGCTTCGATTTTGTAGGTGAGTTCATTCCATTCATATTCCAGTTGTGATTACTGTGTATTTCCTTCTATTCTCTCTCTCCCCTCCCTCCCTCCCTCCCTCCTCTCTCTCTCTCTCTCTCTCTCTCTCTCTCTCTCTCTCTCTCTCTCTCTCTCTCTCTCTCTCTTTTTCCCACTCTCTCCCCTCCTCAAAAGTTTGTTATGCTTTTGATTATCACCTCCATTTATCTGTCCTCCCTTCAATCAGCACTCCTTCTTTCCCCTACCCGCATCATTTTCACTTCCCTGTTGGGTAAGATAGATTCTGATACTCAACTGAGTGTGTATGTTATCCTGTCTTTGAACCAATTCTGATGAGAGTGAGATTCAAGCAATAACTATAACCCCAAACTCTGGGTTTATTTGCATCAAGTTCAGTTTTGTGGAATTCTAAAAATCATATATCTTTGACTTATCTTGTCACTATTCTTTGATTATCTTTTTCTGGGGACCTCAGAACATAAATTATGACTGGGTCTACAAAGGCTGATGTAAAAGAGCTTTCTTTCATCTCCCGTGGGGGTGGGGAGAGATTAAAAAAAAAAAAGAAAACAAAGGATGATCAGTTCAATGCAAAGAAAAATCTAGCAAAAGCACTGGGAGAATGGAGATAAAATTTTTACGTGCTAGTGGAATGGGATGAGGTAGTCAGGGAAGGCTTGGTAGAAGGCTTGATGATACTTCTAAAGGAAGGGAAAGATTTACATTTTAGGTATAGGGGATTCCTTGATAATAGACCCAGTTTTCACATGTCTACATGTCTTTCCCAAGCCCTCTAACATATGATGGCAGTATTTACATATACAAAGAATTTTGGGGGTGTAGATACATTTATATTTTCATAATTTTGTATGTTCAGATGCTGTCAAAGACTTATACTAAATTACCACCCTTGGACTTTTGAACTGCATCTTTTAAAAAAAATTTTTAGACAATTGGGGTTAAATAACTTGCCCAAGGTCACACAGCTAGTAATTGTCAAGTGTTTGGTCTGAGTCTGGATTTGAACTCAGGTCCTCCTGATTTCAGGGCTGATACTCTATCCACTGCGCCACCTAGCTGCTCCCACCCTTGACTTTTGTGCTGTTTAATGTCATCAGGTTTTATTTCACCTAATATAAGAATTTTCAGATGGATGCCTTCATTTAAGAACATCAGGAAGTATATTACTTCCAGAATTTGAGCACGTTTTTAAGAAGACATTGGAAAGCAGCCTGGTACATGGTCTGGTGGACAGGGACTGGATGGAAACAATGAAGAACATTGCTTAATCTCTTAGTTCTTTAAGTTCCTCACCCATAAAATCAGGAGGTTGGATTAAATACCTCTAGAGTCCCTTCTAGCTTAAAAGTCTTATGAGTCTTCATGATTGTCTTGGAAGAGTTACTGAGATTGAATAATCGACATTGAAAATATATGGCTATGTCATTGTTCTTTCCCCTACCACAAAGGGTTCAGTGTGTAATACACAACTAGTACTGTAGCACGTCCACTTAATCTAGTAGGATTATTTGCTTTGAATGATAAAAGAAGGTTGCTTGGTTGTTTATATATGCATGGTATTCTTTTTTTTTTTTTATTGTGAGGCATTTGGGGTTAAGTGACTTGCCCAGAGTAACACAGCTAGTGAGTGTTATGTGTCTAAGGCCAGATTTGAATGCAGGTCCTCCTGACTCCAGGGCCAGTGCTCTATTCACTGTGACACCTAGCTGCCCCTATGCAAGGTATTCTTGAAATGATGGATGTGTGAATCACAGTTATAATCTGTAGGCATTTTTGTCTTGAAAAGCCTTCTATTTTAGATTAATGACTCAAATTCAAGTTTTGAAGGATATTCTGTCTCAAGGCATCTTTTCCAGGAGTTTTCTGTCCTCAAGGAAAAATTGCCTACACTAGAACTTTAATTAGTGCAGGATGACTGGGGCTTTGCTTCTACCTACTAAAACTTAGAGAGCAATAATAGAAATGTCCTGGAATTTACCTCTTCACAAGTTCCGTCCTCCACTATGACAACATTCCACCTGAACTTACCACTGAGTTCCACTCCCTCCAGCTAAGTGACTTTGTCTCAGGGTACACTTCTGACTCCTTAGCAGTGGCTAGTCCTTGAGCAAAGTAAAAACCTGATGGCGTCATGTGATGCTCTTTCTCCTCTTGAGTGGCAGCACCCCAAGTGATCTCTCTTCCACCATTGCCAATGGCCTCATCTTTGCTCAAGGTACAAAAATTTTTAGCTACAGCTCTGACCATCACACTGCTAATAGATTTATTATTGTTCAGTGTTTTCAAATGTATTTATTGAGGATTTTGACTCTGCCTCAGCAGAGACAGCTCAACAAAGGGTTATGCTTCCCATGTATCCTTGCAACTGCTGTAACATAGGATTCTTTGATATAGTTCAGATTTGTATAAATGGAATTGAATTGCTGGATGATCTCAGGTCATTTGCTTTGTATTTCAGGGGACTTTTTCAGAGATCCCATTCCTAAAGCTGATCTGTATATTTTGGCTAGGATCCTCCATGATTGGGCAGACAATAAATGTGTACAATTGCTAACAAACATCCACCAAGCCTGTAAACCAGGTATGTGTGTTTTTTGTTTGTTTGCTTTCGGTATTGTGAACTAAGACACATTTATATTTTGTTGTTGTTATTTAATCATTCAGTTGTGTCCAACTCTTCATGACCCAGTGGACCATACTGTCTATGGGGTTTTCTTGGCAAAGACACTATAGTGATTTGCAATTTCCTTCTTGTGGATTAAGGCAAATACGGATTAAGTTGCCCAGGGTCACACAGCTAGTAAATGTCTGAGGCTGGATTTGAACTCATCTTCCTGACTACAGGTCCAGTGCTCTATTTACTGAGCCACCTAGCTGCCTCCTAAAAGGATTACAGATCTGGATTTTAGAAGAGACCTTCTTGTTGTTGTTCAGTCATGTCCAACTCTTTGTGACCCCATCTGAGGTTTTCTTGGCAGAGATGCTGGAATGGTTTGCCATTTCCTTCTCCAGCTCCTTTTACAGGTAAGCAAACAGGATTAAGTGACTTGCCCAGAGTCACACATCTACTAAAGGTGAGACCAAGTTTGAACTCAGGAAGAAGAGTCTTCCTGACTGTAGGCCCTGTGCTCTATCCACTGCATCACCTGGTTGCCCCTTATGTTCTATATGGTGTACTAAAAATAGCTTTGGAACTTGTAGGCAGGAAACATGGGCTTAGATATAGCCTCTGACATTTACTAGTTCTATGACCTCGGGCAAGGCACTTAGCCTCTGTTAGCATCAGTTTCCTCATCTTGTGGGAGTACTGGAAAGAATGGTAAATTTGGAGTTATAAGACTTGAGTTCAAATCCTGGCTTATTTAATCCTTTTCATGGACAAAGGGCAAATAACAACAACAATGACAATGATGATGATGACACAACAATAACTACAGCAACAATGATTTTGGTCAAATAACAGCCTCTGTTGATCAGGTTAAACTAAATGATCTCAAAAGTTCTTCCAGCTTTAGAGAAATCCCTATAAAAAAGGGATTATTATCCTTGTAAAACTTCATGCAAGTCCATCTCCTTGGGTTTCAGTTTCTTCATCTATAAAATGGGAATGTTGGACCAGATTATCCTTTTGGCTCTAAGTTTATGATCTTATGGTGCTGTTACTTAGTGAGATAATGACTCAAATCTAAGTCTTCTGACCCTTAGTCTACTTTGGTTGTGCTACCTCTAATAGCCTGTAATCTTTCCCGGACAGAAGCAAGTTTAGGATATTTTAATTGGTAAAGTTAACATGTAGTGGAAAGAGCATAGGTCTGGGAATCAGGAAGGTTTTATTGTACCCTTGGCCTGTCACAACCTAGCATCACAAGGTCATAGAGCTAGAAGTGATCCCAGAAGTCATCAATTCTCCTCTAACCGACCCCCGCCCCAACCATGAGGAAACTGAGACCCAAAGAGGAGTGAGTTGACCAAGGCAATCAATGAATTACTCAATGAACATTTATTAAGCACCTACTATGTTTGAAGCTCTTTGCAAAGTTCTGGGGATAAAAATGCAAGGAATGAAACAATTTGTTCTTAAGGAATTTACACTTTTTTTAGGGAGACAAGTACATATGTAAGTGTAGATGCATCAAACCACTTATCCTCTCAGAGTCACAAGTTTCCTTGGTAAAATGAAAATGGTACCTTCTAGAGCTCTTCTAGATATAGACATAATAAATACTTGGTGTTTAGGGGGTGTGCATTGGGGACTACCTTCATTTAAATGACCCCCCTCCAACACACATTAATTTCACTGAAATATGAGGCATTTGGTGCCACTCTTTAAAGAACTATGCATTAGAAGTTGTTGTTGTTGTTGTTATTGTTATTAGTGGAAATACCTTTATCCCTACAAACATGTTCTCAATCTAACAGAACTGCTCAATCTAACAAGTCCTGTTGGTATTCTTATACCTAGTTTTAAATAAAATGAAGTAACTAAAGAATTTATATTTCTCTATAAACACTTTTCCTTTATTCAGTGACTTTTTTTTAAATGTAGGTAATAAAACAAGCATTTCCATACCATTGTACAATAAAAAAGATGATTGCACATGAAACTATAAATCTACTATGTGCAACTTGCTATTCCTTTCAAATATACAACAAAACTATCTTACAAATTTCTTTTTCCCCCTTTTTTTCCTTCTCCCCTCCCTCTCCAACCCTAGAGATGGCTTCCATTAGAGACAAATAGGTATATATGTGTAAAATTATTCTGTACATACTTCTATTTATCAGTTCTTTCTCCAGATACAGATAGTGCCTTCATATGTTCTGTATAGTTAAAACATATTTTTTTAAGTCTGGGTCTTCATATCTGGGAATGCTGGGGTTGCTGAAGGGCCTGCTTCTACTATTGATTAGCATTGACCTGATCCATTTCTAACTTGGGTCAGTTTCCCTTCCTTAGGCAACCTGGTCCCCTCTCCCCAACCCTGAGAGCTCACCGTGTTAATGCCAAACTCAATGCAGATACCCAATTGGCTTAGTCCATTACAGTTCAGAGCTCCCACTAGCTTAGTTGTAGCATTAGAGGCAGAGGAGGAGGAGGAAAAGTTCCTGGTCCATAAGGCCAAAGAAAGATAAGGGAGGAGAAAGGCCTTTTTGGAGAAGACTGCTACAAAGGATAGTCCCCCCTGCCTCTTTTTTTTTTTTAGAATGAAGAAAGTGGGACCAAGAGAGAAAGAAGTTAAGCAACTTATCTAATATCACATATGTAAGCTGTAGACTCAGGATTTGAACTCAGATTTCATGGCTTCAAGTTATGCATTTGTCCACTTCTTCCTTGATACCTCCATGAATTAAAATTTGCCTTAATACAAAGCTAAAGCACTAGGAAGAGATAATACTTTGTCTTCTCATCAGATAAAATGATCCAAGGTCCAAAGCAGAGATTGAGAATAGGGAAATCAGAGATAACACCAGAAGTGGGCACCCTAATATATAATGGCACAGAGTTAAACCACATGTATGCTGATCTTCATGGACTCATTGGTGTAGGCTTGGTTGACATGTTACTGTGAGGAAAACGAAACATTATGGAATATAGCTGACCTGGAAACAGATATATCTCTAGGCAGAACTGGTTACTCTGGGCAATATACCCTTGCTGTGTTGCTGAACGAAAGTAGAGCTAAGCCCTGCAGTTAATGCATGTTCATTGCTTTATTTTCGCGCTGAAAGGAGCTTGGCATTTTCACTGCATCCAGACTTACAATACGGGAAAGACTGATCTCCCTGCTCACCTGAAAAATAGTCCTTGTGTATTCCTTATGACCAGCCCCCAAACTGAACCCACTGATGGGAAGGGAAAAGAACAAGAGACAAGGCAGAAACCTGTTTCAGTCTTTTGCTTCTGGTCCGGCCCAGCTAACACCTACTTTGTTTCTCTCTAGGCTGTGGTGTTTTAGTGGTTGAAACCCTTTTGGCTGAAGATAAGAGAGGGCCTTTGACAAGTCAGCTCTATTCTATGAACATGCTGGTACAGGCTGAAGGAAAGGAGAGAACTCCAACAGAGTACCGCAAGATCTTCACTCAGGCTGGTTTTCAAGATTTTCAGTTCAAGAAAACTGGAAAAATCTATGATGCCATTTTAGCTAGGAAATAATTGCTTCTTATCCCACAACTATTATTAAACATATGAAATAATTTGGTTAATCTTTGTGAACATACAATATAACCTGCAACCTGCTTAGTGAATGATGGCAGAACACTATAGGAATCAAGTTCTTCCCTCCAAAGAGGGGGAATAGAATAGAATATTCTCATATAATAGATTCTCAGAGTTGGAAGGGAAGGTAAATGTCATCTAGGCCAATCCTTGCCTGAAGAATAGGAATACTTGCCTTGATAGATAGCTATTCATTCTTACATGTATCCTCTTACCCATCCCTCTTCCACCTCCCACCTAGATGTACAGATAAAGAGATTTCAAGGAATCATAGAAAAAGTGAGTTATGGAATGCACAGCTAGAAGGCCTCAGAGGCCATCCAATCCAATGCATACCTGAATGAGTATCCTTTGTGTAGTATATCACAGAAGAAGTCACCGAACTTTTACCTTAAGACCTCGGGTGAGGGGAAATCCATTATCTCCCAACACAGTCCATTACATTTTTAGATAGCTCTGACTGCTGGGAATCTGCTCCTTCACTGTTTTTACCCCTTTCTCATATCCTTTTGCTTAACATCTTTTGTGCCTCAGGTCTCTCATTTGTAAAACAATCTTAACTTATTGAATAAAGAAACATTATAGATGCTATGGATTTCTTTTTTCTTCAATCTTACTTGCACCAACAGAAGAGAAAATTAAGGCATATTTCAGAGAAAGCCTAACAACAGAATCTAACTGTATTCTGGGCCATCTCCAGTTGTCCCGATCTATATCTGGCCATTGGACCCAGATGGCTCTGGAGGAGAAAGTGAGGCTGGTGACTTTGCACAGCCCTCCCTCATTGCAATTAATATACGTTCATTGCTTTATTTTCATGCTGAAAGGCGCTTGGCATTTTCAATGAAATCCAGACTTAAAATTGGCTTGCAATTGACTCCAATTGGCCAATTAAATCCAGTTGTCTGGCAAGTCATTACATCATGGTCTTCTTTGAGAACGAAGACAAACAACAACCACACACACACAACAGAAGATATGCTGCATATGTGAAGAGAGATCTGTTTCTTGCTGTGTTTTTGACACAGAAATCAAAGATAACTAATTTAAATGAAGCCATCTCAGTAGAAGAAACAGTGAAGGATAACAACTTGTGGCTGTGACATCTAAATCCCTTATCTTATAGATGGAGAAACAGAGGCTAAGAGAGATTAAGTGACTTGTGCAAAGTCACATAGCTAGTAAGTGTCCAACGTAGGATTTGGAGGTGCTTATCACGCCAAATCCAACAATCTCTCTCTCCACTGCTCCCCCTAGTAGGAATGGAAGGATAGAAATCAATCAACAATGTGCTATCTTCCAAGTGTTATACTGAGTAATCATGTTATGAATACAAAGAATGAAATAATCTTCACTCTCAAGGAATTTTTAGTCTAAAAGTCATTTGCTTATCATAACTATTGACTTAGAGAAAGATAAGAAACATCAGGTCCAACCTACCTCACAATTTTAAAATAAACAGAAAATATGTTTAAAAAGCTAGTAAGCTCAACAGTGGAAGAAGGGGAAATTACATTTATTTAAAGAAGATGGCAGACCACCTTTTATCCTGAAAATGTTAGAATCACATAGGAGGTATTATGTGAAGTTAAAAACACAAACACAAAGCACAAACAAAACCAGTGCAGCCAAAAATCATAAGAAATCAAGAAACTAGGGGAAATTTTTTGCAGCAAGTTTCTCTGATAAAAGTCTCATTTCTCAAATATATAGAGACATGAGTCAAATTTATAAAAAAATAGGAGCCATTCCCCAATTTATAGTCAAAGAATATGAACAGGTAATTTTTCAAGAGGAAGAAATCAAAACTATCAATAGTTACAAGGAAAAATGCTCTAAATCATTATTGATTGGAGAAATACAAATTAAAATAACTCTAAGGTATCATATCATGCCAATCAGATTGGTTAAGATGACAGAAAAGGAAAATGCCAAATGTTAAAGGGGACATGAAAAAACTGGGACCCTAATGCACTATTGGTGGAGTTGTAAATTGATCCAACCATTTTGGAAAACAATTTGGAACTATGTCCAAAGGGCTAGAAAACTGTGCACATCCTTTGATCCAGCAAAACCTCTTCTACAAATCTATAATGCCCAAGGAGATTTTTTAAAAAAGGAAAAGAATCCATATGTACAAAAATATTTATTTTAACTCTTTTTATAGTGACAAACAGTTGGAAATTGAGGGGATATCCATCTGTTAGGGGATGGCCAAACAAATTATGGTATTTGAATGTGATGGAATGATGAGTGGCAAGAAATAATGAAGGGGATAGTTTCCAGAGAAAAGAAAACAAACAAACCTGGGCATATTTATATGAATTGATGCAAAGGGAAATGAGTAGTACCAGGAGAACAAATTTATATAGTAACAGCGATATTGTAAAGATAACTGTGAAAGACTTAGTAACTCCAATCAACACAATGATCCACTACAACTCCAAAGGACTCATGATATAAATTGCTTTCAAGCTCCAGATAGAGAACTGGTGGTCACAGATGGAAGCATATTTTCCCTCTTTCTTAATTTTCCTTGCTTTTTTTTTTGGGGGGGGAGACATGGCTAAGGCAGAAATATGTTTTTCATGACTTTATATGTAGAATGGGTATCATTTCTTGCCTTCTCAAGGATGGGAGAAAAGGTAGAGAATGTGGAACTGAAAATAAAAACTAAATTAAATGAAAAAAATAAAATTCACAGGCTTCAGTTTTTCTTAAGAAGGAGATACTTCGTGTTCCATAATTTAGATCTCAGTCTTAAAATTCAGTTTTTATAAACTCATCTAGATAAGATCATGCCTTGGTAAATTGATTTATGAAATCCAAATGCGAAGAAGTTGTATTTGTTAACCAGAGTGATGATTTATGAATTTATAGTTAGAATTCCATCAAGATAGCTAGCTCAGGTGCTAGCTTCTACTTAGAGTCTTTCCTAAGCTCCTCCTCCATCTTGCCCTCCTTGACCAATACATTAGCTTTTGGTTTTCACTTCTTCATATTGCCTTGTTTTTTGTTTCTGTATATGTTATACCTACCCCTCAAGAATGTAAATTCCTTGAGAACAGAGCTTGTTTTATTTTTGTCTATTTATCTTCAGAGTCAGGCAGAGGGATTTGTATATAGTAGGCACTTAGATTTGTTGTGTTGGATTGAATGTGAAAATGACTTTGGCTTTTTCAATTTATGCCAATGGAACACAAGCTTTGACACATCTTATCAAGCTGGAAAGTGGGGCCAGAGGTGTCTCTTATTTGGGTTTCAGCCTATATAAGTTTATATAAGATTATCACTAGCTGGTTGGCCATCAGATGATGATGATTTTTTTTAATCTCCTGCAATTCATAAACTCTTTCTACTAAAGTGAAGAGGGTCTCTTCACAATGGATCCTTGGAATTTTCAAATGTAGCTCTTATAAGTTCTGAAGATCCTCATCTTAACTTCCAATCATATGGATGAATCAGGTTCCCTATAGCAAGGCTAGCTGTATCTCTCCTCTGGGATCTAGGGGTATCTCTAAGGGGTTAAAGGTGTTTGTGTCTTCTTTAATGCTATTATCTTTAGCTTCCATTTGGGTGCATTCTTTCTAATGTTAGTCACCAATGTTTAGAAGCAATTAGCTTTTATAAAAATATTTAGTGAGAAGATATAGAAAGAGCAGAAGTACAAACATTTTCCCTCAACATCTGGAGGGCATACTCTTCTCTATACTACCTTAGTCCCTGAGAAGAATAAGCCCACACTTAAACTAGATAATAAAGGCAACGGCAGGGTCTTCATGCAGATAAAATCATGTTCAGATAAAAAAAAAAGAGGATTGGTCTTATACCTGTAGAGCTAGACTGTATTTTAGTGGTTGTACAAACAGCAAGACATCAAATTCTAAGTCAGAGGAAAATGCGAACAATTTTACCTATCATATAAATGGAATTTGAACACATGCAGTAATGGCAGGTGCTTTGCAAGTAGTAGACATTTAGATAAATGGATGAAAAGATCCATTTCTCAGATTTCTGTATAGTAGCTTCCTTTGATGTTTTATTTCTTTGACTTTTTGTCTATTGTTTTTTGGGGGGAAGGCTAAGCAATGGGGTTAAGCAACTTGTCCAGAGTCACACAGCTAGTAAGCGTCAAATGCCTGAGGCTAGATTTGAACTCAGATCTTCCTGACTCCAGGGCCAGTGCTCTATCCCCTGAACCACCTAGCCACCCCCTTGTCCATTTCTTTATGCCCGTGGTGGGAAGGATTAACACTAGAATAACATTTCTGTGTAAATGAACAGGGACATTTAATAAATGCTCATTGTTCTCAAAAAGAGATACAAAACAAATACAAGACTTTGGAGTCTCTGCCCTTGAGAGAGATTCCGTTCAGATATTATGTTATAGCAGAAAGAACAATGAACTTGAAATTACCATATGTGCTTTTGAGGGCTGGTTCTGCCACTTATTAAATGAGAATTGAGTGTACTTTAACTTCTCTTAGTCTCTTTCTCATCCGTGAATTGATGGTATCATACTTGTATTACCTACCTCTGAGCACTGGGTTTACAGTCAGAAGATCTAGGTTCAAGTCAATTCAACTAGTGTAACAAATACATTTTAATCATGAATAAAGTCTCAAAGTCTTATAGGATATTTTTTGGCCTTCTGGTATAGGAATATGATGTATAAATACTGAGGATGGAAAGAAAGTAGACAATATTAACATTAGCTAATAGATTGCCATGATGGAATAATCTACCAGAACAAAGCTACCATTGTTAAGAGGCTTCTAATATCACTTTGTTACCTTCTAAGTATTTGGAGGCTGGGTAGAAAGCAATGATAATGTGTGTTCCTCTCTCCAGCTCCAGGTAGAAAAAAGTAGGTTTTTACAAAAATCTCATGTTAGCATGGGCCATGTGATTGTATTTTAGAGGCAACCTTTTCTGCTTTTACCAGGGTAAATGACCTTATTTATTCCAAACCAACACATTCTTTAAAACTAGGCACCATCCCCAGTGGCCATGAAATCTAACATAGAACTTGAAATGCACAAGATGTGATTTTGTTTCCTATTCTCACAGAGATCTGAGGAACAGGCAGTAGAAAGCCAAGCAAGTGGGAAAGTAATTTTTGTTGTACTCTTATAGATAACTATACTGGAAGTATTGGGAAGGATATAGGGAAGTTGCATGTGAGACTTCCCCTTTCTTCTGGAAGGCAAAAAAGAATCTCTGCTCTGTCTCAGTGCCTCTCTCTCTGTCTCTCTCTGTTTGTCTCTTTCTTCCCACCTGCAACACTTTGTATCATGTAAGCACAATGGGCTCAAGGAGGGTACCACTAGATAGCATAATCCTGTTTTGCAGGAATGCTTATGAGTTTGTTTTTAGTGTTATTGTTACAAGCATGTCCTAAATTTATAGATGCTTTATGACAGATTTACATATTTGTATTGTGCTAGAAAAATCCCTGAAATTCCACGTGTTTATAAGTTTTTATGTAACACCCCTCTCATTCTTTCCTTCATTAGGAAAATCATGTCTATTTTGGGGATGTGTGAGATGTATGTGCTTGGCTCAAATGATCTTGTC